TTTATTATGTGTATACATTATTATTGCGTTTCGTATAGTCTATGTGAAATACATATATATATATATATATACAATACACTTCCCATATTTTCTTATTTTTATATATAAATAAAATTGTATCTTTATCTATAAATAATTAATCTAATTTTAAGTATCCAATCAATGTATATTGTATATCTATGAAGTGAAAATAAAGGTAACATTCTACTCATTTAATACATAAAAAAAAATTCTAAATGACAAAGCATATAATATGATAACACATTTCTTATCAAAAATTATTAGGGAGGTATTGAAGATTTATTTTGAATAATATAATATAATGAAAACTCTTCAATTTAAAGTTGTAGGGTTTTAGCAATACAAACTATAAAACAACATTATAGATAATACACAATACAAACTTGTATTTAACTTTTGTGTTTTCAAAATTCTATTATGAACTATTACGATAGAATTTATAATTATTATTTTCTAAAATACTCTAAAATAACTAAAAAAATTATGCTTCCCGTTTTTTGGTAGTTTTTTTAAGATCACTGAGAAAATGAAAAACAACTTATTTAAAGTACCAGCTGAGTTCCGTTTCCAATCTATGTGTAGACACTAAGAGCTTTACGAAACATTGACTAGGTACCCAAAAAGTGTTTTCCGAAGGAAAATACGGCACATCGTTGTAAAACCAATTGCTCCTTTACAAGACTAAAATGAAAATGGTGTATTAAACAAGATTTTTCAAAAGCATTTTGTAACCTAAAAACAAGTCTATTTTAAAATGTAAACAACAAAATCTATCAATATAAAGGATTAGTATTATAATACATTACATTTTTAACTGTTTCTTAGTACAACAAAAGTGAATTTATACACAAACATCAATACATTTTTTATTCTCTTATACACATTCAATTTTTTTTTGTATCGTTCATCGTTTGAAATTGAAGTACGAAACCTACTTATAATATTTGTAATATCAACAAAGACGGGGGGCAATGCTATCTTAAGTGTTTTAAATTTTTATTTTTAAGTCGAGTAAAAATATTTCCACCATGTTTAAGTATATTTATATTTCATTATCAATATTTGTATACGTATAACGACACTTTAAAATGTTGTTTATAATATGCAACATAATATATTAAACATTGTTATTTTAATATCAAGAATTTTGGGTTTTGTATTATAAACAGCGATGGATCAAACATTCTACAAATAATATTTTAAAACTAAATATTTCAAGTGAAATGATGAATGTATTGATTTTACATCAATGTGTGTTTTTTTGGTTAAATTTTGGTTGGTCAAATTCATATGATTTTTTAACAGAAGTTTGTATTGGCATTTTCTATGCACCATACAATTTTCAAAATATTTTGAATCTTTTTGAGCTATTTGAAAGCAAAATAAATTTTTGATTTTTATTAGTTTTTTTAAAATTATAGTCAAAGTCAAAAAACTTGAACATTTAGTACAAAGTTCCTTGTAAGTTATTATAAGTGTAATCAAAAAACAAAAAAGTTGAGCATACATTGACAGTAGGTATTTATGAGTGTCTGAAGTTAGAATTGTGTAGATATTTTTTAAAATTCCCAAAATTTGTAAACTATTTTGTAGTTAAAAATGTATAAAATGTTACATTTTCATAACTAAAGATTACAAATTTAAATAAAAGTTTCTCATAACTCAATTAATACTGTTTTTAAATTTTAATTTTCAATTATACTATTTCCAAAAAATCTATCTAAACAATTTATAAATTTAGTCGAAATCAGATATTTAAACAAAGAATAGCAATTTCATTATTTTTTTATAATTTAAAAATATTATCTGTGGGTACTTGAAACTTATTAAGTTGTTGGAGTCTTGAACTGGATAGATGATTTATAGGTACATTGTTTCTTTTTTTATATAGACATTTTAATTTCAAATTTAACTAAGAATAACGATTTTAGTTACTTTGCTGTAATTTAAAAATATTGTTCGTGGGTAGGTACTTGAAACTTTTAAGTATATTATTATATTTTATAATTTATTCACACAATGACATTTTCAAATGCAATGTTGTTTGTGGCAAGAATTAATTCAATCTACTGTATTACTAATAGTAAAATTGATTACTTCAATAGCAACACTATCATAAAATATGTTTAGTTATACAAGCTGTCTGCAGTTTTCGCTCAGAATTGTTTTTCATGTATGATGTTTTTATATTAATGAATTCAAATTTAACACATCCATTACAGTCATCCATAAGAAAACATACAATGCAGTAGCCGCTTGCCTACATTTTTTAAATATATATTTCTACAAATGTCGATTACAAAATATTGATAAAAAGCTTGAAAATTTAATATGAGGTTCCTCATTATAGTTATTCTTATTGCTATTTAAAAATATTGAAGGTAATATAGGCAATTTTTTTTATCATTTGATAAAGTGATATTTTATCTACAATGATAATGAAATCGTTTTTAAATAGCATTTCACTTATCAAAAGCTGAATTATTGTCACAATTCTCATAAGTAGTGTTTTTAACGAAATAAATGAACTATTTTAACGGTAGGTACAAGTATAGTGCTCAAAAAGAAAATGTCCTTATTAGTTTGTATAACGTGTAACATATATATATTATCATGCCTGTATTACATACTATTATCTCTCTATTATATAAGAAGTAAGAACTTTTGCATATTTTATCTTCCACATAATATAATATTGTCATAGCAACCAAAAAATAAATACATTATTATTATTATTATTCATTAAAACTTAAAAACTTTAATACTTAAAACTCTGTATTATTTAAAAAAGTTTAGTTTATTATTTTTATCTTCCACATATTTTATTTTTATATATTTTAAATTGCATATATTATATTTCAAAATGCAAAGGTGATGTTTGGGATCTTTGAATCACGAAAGCGAAGCCCTCGGGGTGGTTGGCATATGCCGACAGGGGGTTGGTGAATAAATCGAGGTGGGGGCAGTGCCCTATTATATAATAATAATATGTATTGTTTTGAACTAATATAAATTATATCATTCGTCTGTTATTATGAAAAGTTGGTTGTTGAGGCCCTGAAATTCATTCTTACAAGCAATACATCAAAGTTGTAATAACTTTAGTACGGAGTTATTATGTCATCCTATAATATTATTTTGTAACGTAGAATAGTACGTATCAAGGATTAATAAATTAAACTCTTTGTAAAGGAAACTAAGTATAATATTTAACATACTCAAAATCGAGTACATGGAAACAACTTATAATTGTTACTATATTCATATATTACATATATATTTGTATTCGTTTATTTAATATGTTGTATATAATTGTTCAGTTCTCAGGATGCAGTAATCGGAAATGAATTGAAAAATAAGAAACATTGAATAAATAGTACACTTTGAAGACACAATAATAGATAAGTTTCCAATTATAATTATAATTTTTACATAGAGATAAATTGTATTATCAACAGTAATTTCGCAGATCGTACAATGTTTATAAAATTGTAATAAGTTATTTTTTTACAGAGTTACATAATGTATTATTTTACGTATTATTATGACATTATGACGTGATACTCCCGTTAATAAGAAATAATTCCTATGTTCTAAAATGAAAATAATATACAAATGAGCGAAATTTAATATAGAAAAAAATATTTAAGCTTTAAGTGTTAAGTATAACTTGTAAATATTGTTAAATTTCGAGTTAAGAGATTACACTGGTTGCAAATTAAATTCCATATTTATAATGTTCACAATCACTATTAACAACTAATCATGGACTAAGTCATATTATTATATGCTTACATGATATATATATATATTTATAAATATATATGTATTTTAAGCATAATAAGTTTTTTGATCGTACAATAGCGTAGCGTCGGTGGTAAATACTTAAAAAGCGTCTTAGACGTCCTAACTAATTACTAAAACGAATTTAACACCTCAAAGGTATTTTTAATTGAATGTGTGAGACTACCATGCCGCATGATCATTCAACGTATTCCATTATCGTTTTAAATCGTTTCTTTTCTAGTCGCATACAACGACTCATGAAGTATGTAAGCTCGAAAACTTAAATATATTTTAGTGCTCGACAGATATGAATAAAATAAAAAATAAAAGCTCTATATAAGTACGCTAAACGTACCGTTTGTTTTACGTTCAAATCCAGTAAAGATTTTCAGAATTCAGACACAGTAAACACATTTCATGGAGGCACCATAGTCGCAAATGGTGGTGTCAAAGGTCCTTATAGCAATATAGCACTCTGATTTTATTCTAGTGCTAATACCATGCAATATGAATATCTCGGTCGTGTAACTTATCGCGATATTGTCTCGAATAAGTAGTTTTAAAATATTTTCAATTTTTCGTTACCTAACAAATGTTTAAAACAGATTAATTCTTTTAACAGTACAAGCACTATCTATTTCAGAAAAGCACGCTAATTTGCTCATAATATTTTTGATGTTTTTGACGATGTCAGCTACAACAATTAAGTACCTACTGTACATTTTTTATTTATTAATTATATTAATCAAAAGATTTCTAAATAATAATTTCAAATGACATTAATTTTAACTTCGTAGTATTATTATAATCTGATGAGCAAAACACTTTTCTGAAAATGTTTATAATTTACAAAACATATAATATTGATGATAAATTGATAACATTGAAAAATAGCGTTTTTATTAATATTAATAATCATTACAATTTTGGACGAGTCAGTACAGGCGGGCAAACTCTCCTAGGTACTATTATAAAGTAGTAATTTATCTAACCTACGTGCGCACGCTGTTATACGCGTTCAACCACATCATTACCTCGTCATCATGTACCTGCTATGATGTTTGGATACCTATAAAAAGCGAACGCAATGCGCAGTATGCGGCTATAAGTGTGATATTTATATTACCTTACAAAAAAAAACATAATGACATTGTATTACATGCGAACAAATGTCTGAAATATTATAGTTTTACCTGAGGACCGATCCGGCTGTTGACGGCGGCGTAGCCGGACCTACGGTTTCGGACGAGACACTTAAATATTATATAATTACGTGATGTATTTTTTAATTATTTTAGTACAATGTAACATAATACAATATGACACGAGTGTGAAAAAAATTAAGACAAACGACGACAATGGTGATAATACGACGGCGGCAAATCAAACAAAAAAATTGTGAATGGAAAATTTTTTTTCTACGAAATCTGTGGCGGCGATCGTTGAGGGTGGTCAGTACGACGATAAACACGAGTTCGAGGGAGCAGCGTAGTTACAGGACATACGCGGCGGACGGGTGTGCGCGACAGAGTACGCCGAGTGTGGGGCCCTACTGAAATGCGCCACACTGCCGAACGGTGCCGGTGGCGGCGCGCCTGGGCTCCACTACCCCCCCGGCGGAGCGGCGGCGACGGTGGCGGCAGCGGCGGCGACGGCGACGGTATAACGGCGATGCGATGCTACTGCACGAATCGACGACGGCGTGGTTTTCCGAGCGCGAGACGATAATACGACAATAATTTCGTGTTTGTCACACACCGTTCGGTAAATACTATACAATATACATTATTATATGTGTTTTGCATGTATATAGGTGCACTGCAGGGCGATTCACCAGCAAAGCACGCACCTTTGTTTCCGCAATGTTTTCATTTGGCCATAACAACAAATTTATTCAAACACTCCGATTGGCGGAATTTTTAAGTATAGGTACCCGATGAGAATCAATTTTTCAAATAATTACATTTTTTACTATTTAAAGAGTATAATATCCTATATATGATGGTACAGACCAATTTTTTTTTTCAAATGAGAACTTCCCTCTTCTACTAAATAATAGATGTATTTTTAAAAAATATGAAGCGTAAAATCTGAACAAGTACTAGTTTTTGAGTTAAAAGTATGAAACGCTAATATCTCGAACATCCCGTGGTAATATAGGTTTAATACTCTAATGAGTATTACTGCGATCATTTTAAAGGTACATTAATCAATAGTAATTTACTAAAAATTCACAAATATTGTAAAAGTTGTACAAGTTATCTGGGTAAATAACAAGGATTTATACTGGATGTACCTATATTGTGTTTTATGGAAAACTTAATAAGGAAATAATAATAAGGACTATATGATCCTAAATACTTGCATGTTAATGAAAACTACTAGTTGAAATTTAGATTTAGATATTATATTAACATTAACATTAAAAAAAATCATCTGCGTAACAATTTATAACATTAGAGAGTGGTACTCATTTTTTAAAATTGTTTCACTATTGTGAAATATCTTCCAACTATCTACTATGAGTCGTGCATCTTTTATTTGATTTGAGATTTTTCTGGCGACATGGTGTTACCAACTAAAGCAAAAATCGAGAGGTATGCCCAAGTATTTAGCTGAATCTTTTTATTAGATTCTCGTGTGTTCCGGTAAGAGGTACTACACAGTAAACACTTTACATGTATTAACTTTACACTATTATGTACCCATAATCTTATTGACAGAAAAGTTAACCAAGCATGCGTTATTGAAATTCTAATGAATTTATTTGAATTACTGAGTGACCGTATTTTCAATTTTGAAATAATTCAATTTTTACCATTTAAGGAGTGTCCTGTAAGGATCTCCACACTAAACTTGGCAAACAAACAACTTTTATAACATGAGGCTACCATCAAATTTAGACTTATGGTGCATGCACAATTATTGTGGTGTTGTGCCGTAAAATCCAATATCGATGACATTCAACGCTGTAAAAGTATTTTTCTTCGTACTGTTTTCGAAGCATTATACGTAATGAAGTCATCGACATTTGAAGACATGACCCATCTAGGACAAAATCAAAAGGTTTATCAATAAACATGCGAAATAATTGAGCTGTATACCATCGCAACAGCCAAACAACTTCTTGACGACTTGAAAGACATAACACACACAACTGACACTCGAAGCGAAGGGTCCAACTCATCAGAGACAGGTATAGCCCCAAACATGTTAGTTAAATCATATTATCTGAAAAACGTGAAAGTATAAGTATAACAACGCTTGTAATAATTGTGCACCATAAAAGAAAATGATATGCGATTCGTGAACTAATATTATACAAACAGCTGGATTTTTTCGAATTTGTTTACCATCAACAGAACAGTTATTTATTATAAGTATTTCAATATATAATAGCAGTACAATGTTCAAATTGTAATACTTGCGCGAATTGCAATAACCATCAATGTGAAACATAATAGATAGGTTGTAAGTTAACCTGCCCATTACATTACATTACATACATTCTCGCGGAAATCAATGTTATTCGCTCCATTGAATAATACGAGAACATTTACATTTACCCGTAATAAGTTGAGTGGAACATTTATCTTATGAATCAATGGTATAAAATGTTTTAAATATATATAATATATACAATTAGTCTCTTAAACTTATATAATTGGAAGACCTTACTCGATGGAACAAGCACGACAAATATAGTGGGCATATTTTAAAAAAGTAACGTATATTATGAAATACATGAATATATAAAATATAAGTACAACCTGGCATTAAAGTTTAGATTTTGAGTGGAGCAATACATTTATTAAATTCTATCTACGTCAATTTTAAATTATTCTTCGGCCAGACAACTTTAAACTATAATACATAAGACATTGTAAGTTGTTTAAACTTTAAAAAGAAAGTTCAGCGTAAATCTACAAAAAAGTTTTCAGATCGTTCACCCAATAATAATACAATATGTATTTATTTATGTGTACGACTATCACTATATTATGACGTATGTAATGTCATGTGTAAAATTAAGAATTTCTTTCATCGTCATGCGTCATGCTGCAACTGAAACATGTCCTATTGAAACGTCATTGAACTACCCAGCACATGTCTATGACTCACGTGCAAACATAATGTATTTCTATGTAGTTTTACAAAATATACGTCTAGGTCGTAGGTGAAAGAAAAGTTCTCTGTGCACTGGAAGCAGCGACAGTCACCGGATACCGGTATTATTGAGGAGATGTGTATTATCTGGGTACAAGTATAATAATATATATTATAAACTGCTTGTATGCCCATACGTTCGTATATGTGTATAAAAAAAATTTATATCAGGAAGAAAACTCATAACAATGCATTTCAATTACGAGAAAACGTAAACAGAAAATGCCCGGCAAGAGGGACGGGGAAGTCTGGAATCGCACTCTCACAACCCAACACTGCATTCGTATATCCATCCCGGTGCAGCAGACTATATTATATTGTACGCTTATGTATAAGGGACGATGAGGGTCGTTCGGTGCAGTGCAACAATACACATAACAATAATAATAATAATACAAATTGTTATTAAGTCTATGCGGTGACCTGTGTATACTGTGACAACGCGCCTTAACGTAATATATTTTATTATTGTTATAGACTGCTTATAGGAGGTAGGCATATACACTCACTCGCCGCCGTCGATATTTTCACTGTTGTCTCTTTCAAACAGTATTATTTGTTTTTTATCTTTCTTGCATTACAATACAGACACTTCAAAATGTTATTGTTTTCTATCAATCCGACAGCGTTAAAACAACCGACGCGAGTTAATCGAAATCCATTCGGCATACCGATTTGAAGTTTCCAGCCACTGCACCTTTATCATAATACTCTTATATCTTAACTTTTAGATCTTAACTTTGCAGTGATTTACAGCGTATCGCACAGTTAAAACACTAAAACATCCCATTTATTATTGCGACGTGTATTGACAAGTACTTTTTTGAGTACGAACTATGTGTAGGTATACCATAAATGTATTTTTGATTGAAACAGATTTTTATTAGGTACCTACATCTAAAATGTGTGATCTATCTGGCAGATGTCTAATGTGGTTGTGTAGAACTTTTCGTTTTAAAAATACTATTTTAAAGTAATAGCCGATATTGCATAATTTTTACTACAAAAAACTACTAAAAACATAAGCTAACAATCATTACTGATGAACTATTTATCTAATAAAGTGGCGCTCTCTGGTGTCGATTTTTATAGCATCCTTGAGAAGTTAAAAAACCAAAGTGCGACGGTCAATCGGAAACCTTCCTCCGTTTTCACTCGAACACTACGACAGTACAACGGCTAATTGAAAATTATCCGCTTGCCTATCCGATTACTGCCGTAGTAGATCGTTTCGATGAACTTATACAATAACGATAGACCTTTTCTATTTATCTTTAAATGTATATATATATATATATCTAGTAAAACTACCTTAAAACGGCCTTCTGCAAATACCCTTACAGTGGAAAAATCCATATCCTTGAGTGCCTTGTAGTTTACAACGACCGCCCAAAATCAAATATTTGGATTATTTTTAACTAATTTTTCAAATTTCAATGTTTTTGTTTGATTACTGCAATTATCATACCTATTATTATTCCAACGAGTCTGTCCCCAAAATTGGTATCCACATGGATTGTGTGTGGGGGAGGGGGGATTTCCCCTATCTACGCTTGAAGAGCTATAGTATTTTATAAAATTAAAATGTTGATAAATAATGTAATCAAAAGATATGTCACCACTCACCATTATATTATGCAAAAATGTTCATAACAAAATTAACTAGGCAAAATTCTATATTATGCAAAATATACACATACCTAGCATAATGAAGCACTTTTATTAGTTACAAATGCAAATTTATATATTCTATTTAGTAATTTATATCATCACGACCGCCACGTCCAGGGTTATATTGATAGTTAAAACTTTTGTCTTCGTTATAACGACCAATTGTGAGCATAACCGATATTATTATAATGCAAACTACCGCAAAAAAAAACATTATATTTTATAATCTTATAAATTGTCGTTTGAATTCGTGATCGGCCATCGTTTGTGTAATTTGTTGCATTTAAATACGATACGGTCATAATAATTGTTCTATATATAACAAACATCGGTGTTCAAAGCACGCACGACGCACCTACATGGTTACACATGTATCTCGATTAAAAAAAAAAAACATTTTGCACACGAGATTAAAATGTTATAAGAAATTGCGAATACTCACTATTACAATCTTTTGATATGCAAATTTTTAAGTTCAAAAATCGACTTTTATGATGCCTTTGATGACGTATTCTTCACGTGTATGCGTGTGTTTTGAACTATACGGGCACGTGGCATACATTTTTTTACTCCAATAGCAAATGCTTGGAAGAGAGTTCGAATGTATATAGATCTCCGTGTATGTGTGTGTGTGTGTGTGTGTGTGTGTGTGTGTGTGTGTGTGTTGAAATAAAACGTAATTGAGAAATGCTGACCAAAATATCCCAAGTGTAGGTGTGTTTTCAAA